CCCAGTAGTATTTGTAGTGTCGTTGTCTAGCGGTATAACTTTAAAGCGAAATTGGTCTTTTTTCTTTGTTTAGAAAAATAATTAACCTTGATAATTTGCCTCCTTATAGTAGATATATGTTATTGGAGAATGAACTTTAAAAAAGTAATTAAAACGTAACAAATTATATTTTTTTTGTTAGTACTTGGGCAAAAAAATCAAGATTTTCGTTGCCTGACTTTCAACTTGTGAATTATCGTGCAATTTTCATTCTAGAATTGTAAAGCTAGGTTCATCCTCTAACTACAAATATAACGTATCGAAATAATTCTTCTTTTTTATTCGAGATAACTAGAATGGCCTTATCACGCACGTCAGTCACAGGAATTTTTTTTGCAGACTTGGTTTTGAGGACATTTCACGTACAAAATTGTACGCTTAAATTAATAAAAAAAATGCTAATTAATAGTTTAACTGTGCCTCAATACATACACACAAAGTATCAATAGATTCGATTAATTGAGTTCTGCACAAATAATTTAGAAAAATACGCCCCTCTTCAGATCGGTACATTGATCCCACCCCTTAACAATTCTAAAAACAAACGTCCCCTTTCGATCAGTTTCCACGACCCCGTGTCTAACGATTCCCCCGCGGAGTATTTCAACGAGACGACGTCCCGATAGTCGTTAAAATTTGCACGGTTCATTGTTGTCGAATGTCCCGATTTTCCGGTCCAGTTAATGACATTCTTTTTCCTGTTAAGCATCGTGACAAATGAAAAACACGCTCGGGAAGATAAATTGTCCCGCTTGTTAATTGATCGATCATTGCTCGTGTCGCGAAAACGGGGCGCATTTATCCTAGTCGATTGCCGGATGCGTTCAATTTTGCCTCCCCCTCGACGCGAGCCTGCAGCGGGAAAATTTCGAATGGTCTCGAGTATCCGAGTGACACGGCTGAAAAATGTTTTCGAGAGCTCCGTAGGTTTCACCGAAAAAATTCCTGGGGTTTCTCAGACGGAGCTCGGTGAAATTTTTAATTTCGCCTCCTTGGTAGTGCTGGTTGTTCGTAGAACTTAGGCGCTAACCCTAGACGAGGGAGGGAAGAAATCGGACATTGTTTTCATTTCGATGCGAAATTTTCCCTTCAGATTCCTTTCGTTGGCTCTGTCAACGCCGAATGCGTTGCCTCTCGTACTCTATTTCCTCTGGACAATTACAACGTACACGTGAATTTTTTTCGCTCACGCCTCGGTGGTCAAAGGGTTCTGGTAACGGCGCAGAGAAAATATATTTGTCGTCCCTTTGTAATTTTTAATTACTCGAATTTGTAAATCGCAATGAAAGCTGATGGTACAAAGTATTCGTACCGCTGTGTACTCGTAATTGAAACGAATACAAATTGGGTAATATACATAGGATGGGGTTACAGGGTGGGTTGTAATTGGTGTTGCGACACGAAAGAGGGCGGTTCTGCAGGAAAATATATACATGCTGAAAATGTAGAATTAGATATTTTTATGTTACTAATGCTTCGACGTGGATGATATTTGTTGAGAAATTATTTAGTAGAGTGCATCTCTCGACATGGGAATTATCAATTTTGGTGAAGATTGGATAAACCATTACGATCATTGAGAACACCTATACGAGTCAGTTGATTGTTGTCGTCTATTTCTTGCAATTACTTTGTAAAGGTATAGATTTTGCTCATACAAGATGTGTTTTGTCTGTTTGGAGAACCCATTTGAAGAAATATCAAGATCACATGGCCAAGAACATGGTGAAAATCGATCTCAATTTTCGTAGGATCATTTTTGTTCCTAAGAAAAGTGCTCCAGGGAAATTATTCTTCGCTTAAGCATCCAGACGTTGTTTGTTCAACATTTGCAATCCATCCACAAGTGTTGGCGAAGAACTTCGATAATATCACGTCCTCCTATCGATTTTTATATTTGGCACAGAGATAAACCATTGAAGAATATTTGACACATATTTCTTTATCGGCAATCTTTCTCGTTGAAAGGGGGAAAACAGCTCTTAATATTGAGACTGGAATTTTTAATTTAACGTTTATAGTCTAGGTAAAGTAACTTCAGAGATATTCGATTAAATAGATTTTTCACCCTTGACTTTGAGAGCTGTTCTCATCTATTCAATATGGACGATTGTCGATGACAAATATGTTCATTTTATAAACAAACCGTTCGTGTCTGTAATATTGTAATGTTGTACTATTCATTGATTTTCACAATGTATTTTAATTCTACACACAATAACCTTCGCTATTCATTCAAAACAATTTAAGAAATTCTATACCTTTCGAATATTTTACACTTTCCACCTACACTCGTCGCAATCCCTCTCTTTTCTCTCGGATAGAAATTTCATCGTTTTGTTAACAATCATTTGTCCCCGTCCAAATCCGTTCGGCACACCTATAAACATACGAGAGCCTTGCTATCCGGGACGATTCGATCGTCGACACGGCGATATATTTTTCTTCCCTTTAACCTTTTTATTGCTCGATATGCAAATTCGCGGTTCGTTGAGGTCTCGGTTGCTTTTTCACCTGTTTCCCAACGGTCGCCACGCCCACGCGTGTTTTTCGCGCGAGGTTCGGAAAACCTGACAACTTTTTAGCAGCTGCTATCCGAGCGCTCTCTTTTTACCCTTTTGGCTAGCACGCCTCTTTCTATTTTTTTTTTTATGTTTTTTTGGGACCGGCTTAATGGCGACCAGTCCGATTTCAGCCCTCGGGCAGATGTAACTTCTCGCCGTTTTGCAAACAGGAACAAAACGGATGGGGTTTTCTCGTACGTTTCGTTCGATTCCATATCCCTGCCCACGTCGTTCCCCCGGAGCGATTGTATTTTATTAAATATTTGTGCGTTTTTTGTTCGCGGAAGAGACGCGATACGAACGTGAACGAAACACGCGGGTTCGGCGGTTTTGCTTTTGGGATTTTGGGAATTTTCTGCTCTCTGGTTTATGATGCAATTATTTTTAATGGGATTTAAATCGGCATACTGGGAGTATTAAGACAGAATTTAAAGCCCGATACGTTTTTTTTTTTCGTTCTTGATGGTACAGTCGTTGGGATTTTTCATGGAATTTCGGGTATTAGGAAGAAGAGGGTGGAATTATTGGTTCGATGGGATATAAATAGCGGATCGCCGTTATTGTCTGCAGTGTTATAATTAGACTGTGGATGTTTGTGTATTTATAACATCTCTTAACTTGGAAAATACAATAAAATAAACGTTTCAGTCAAATTGAATCCTATTTATATGTTATCAACGTAGTAAAGTCTTTACTACAGAATTCAAACTCCAGCTCCATTTTGATTTTTAGATATCAGTATGTAAAGTTTTGATTTTGCATAAACTTCCGCAGTCTGATTGTAATTTTGTACAGTTTTAATTTTAAATTCTACAAACCCTTATCTCTGTTATCTCATGAAAATGATTTTAAAAACTCTACATATTTAGTATGCTGAAACGGCCATTTTTTCCCTACGAACTTAATACTTGCAATGACGATCTTAATATATTAGCGTTATCGATCTTAGAAAGGAAGCATTTAACTCGTCGCTCTCTGATTTTGAAATACTTTAGCAGAATGGTAGTGTACCAACTGTTGTTGCTAATGGTGAAATATTCTATGTGGACAGAGAATAATTTGAAAGCTACAAACAATTCGCCTCACGTATCACACGACGTAGGCAATTAAACGATCTGTCGATGTTCTCTAAAAACGGAATACAGTTAACTTTTGTAGGTTTCAATTAATTTAATTAACTGTTTCACTGTGTATTCCTTGTAGCGTGATCGAGAAGGTACATATTTGTTTTTAATTTATATATTTCCAATTATTGAGGGTTTACGTCCAATAGTTTGTGGACAGCAAAAAAAAAAAGGATGTGTACGAACAATTCTGTAATATTATCTCAAAATCAGAGGGGGAACAGTTGAGTGCTTACCGTGTAAAAGATCGAGGGTCTGAAACTAGGTAGTAAACCCCTTCAGACCTCTGCTTTCAAATATATTGATAGCTTTCCAAGGATGGTAGGCTCTACCTACACTAGATAATTTATTACACTCTCCCTAGTATTAGAGATATAAATTTTACACCCCTGAACTAAATTGTGTCGTTTAGAATTGCCACCGCGGACTCCTCCGATACTCTGACTGGTCGGGGTTGTTCATTAATATCTCGTTAACAAAACCTCGGAGAACTTTTTCGCCAAAGAAAAAGTTATTTCAAATCACCCCAGCAATTACCCATTTCAAGAACTCAAGCCTATTTTGAGATACCCTGTATATTTTTGACGATCGAAAAAACGAAACATAATTATGTCTGACCATGCACGACCTTTTTCACTGTGGCACTCAACGTGTTAACGGACAATTATCGAAAGTACCTGTATCCTTCGATCGAAACCCTAGTTACTCGTCCCCTCGGAGACATCGAATCTGTTGTCGACAGAATGGCTCAGGAATAAATTTACCGGTCGACAGGCTCTAAAAACAATTTCAAAGGGAACGTCGCGGCGCAACGCAATCTCCTCGAAGAAGACGTGGTGTCCACAGTCAAGCAACCGGAGCACGCCGTGTCGTACGTTTCACTTCCGTTGTATTACATTTTTATTGGGACAGCTGGTCAACGCTTCGAGGAGACGTAAATATAACGGGGCATACGTATGCTTTATGGTCGCGTTGTGTACGGTCGTGGACCTCGTAAATCGCGCGGTGCAGTATAGAGAAAACAGAAAAGGCGGCCTTCTGGTTTCGAGGAGAGAGAAATTACACCGTTCTGCTTCTTTTTCCAGCACTAATTCACCGTGCGTTCGTTAAAGCCTGCTCATTTGTTTGCCGCGCGTGCTGCACGGTGTGTGCTCGTTATGATTTATCGTCGCGCGCACAGGAACGCCGTAAGAGTCGTGTAAGCATATTTTTATTAGCTTCGAGTATAGTCCGTGGAAATAATTGTACGATAGTGGGATGGGATGGGACTTACAGATTGATTCCGTCGTAGCCGGCTCCGATCCCGACGTGGTCGATCCCCGCGATCTTCCTTACGTGATCGATGTGCGCTGCAACAGACAAAGAGAACGGGGAATATTATTTTTTTGTGATTGTATTTTTGCATCGAAGCGAAGCTTTCCTGAGATAGTGTCGCGAGGTTCGTAATAGCTGGATGAGTAATTCTTGAACTTTGGCTTCTTTCCAATTAGACTATGGATTTTAGGGATTTGTAGAGTAAGTGATTATTGAGAAATTTTGTGTAGTCAAATTTTTAACAACTGCCCACCTTTTTACTATTGTGCTGATATCGTGATTAATTTAAATCAGCTAATTTTAATTAATTTAATTACAATCACTCATAAGTGTTTGGCCATCCATATTAAACTGACATCACTAAAAATGTGCCCAACTTCTCAACAGAATTAGTTTATTTCACAATAACGACTACAAACAAAATTCATAATTTTTTACCAAATCATCCGAAAGTGATATGTAAAATGCGAAACAGTAAATGCTTCTTCGATGGAATGGCAAATGTACTTATGAATGGTAGTAGGTATACGTCCAACGAATTCAGTCCAATGTCACTATCGAATAATGTTTACTTCAATAAAACTTTGAAAATTCAAGTTATAATTTAATTACGTGTTACACAGAAAAAAACGTATTTCCAGAAAGTACGTGAAAATGATTCATCAGCAACGATCGCGATCAACGAGCCAGTGTCGTCCACGAGAATCGTTCAGTTTCAAAGTATCCAAGAAAGGGTTACCAGCTTCGTAAAAGGAACGAATATCTTCCCCAGTCATATTGACAGTTCGTTGAACCAAACGTCGACGAATTTTTTGAGTGCATCCGACGTTTCGGCGAGAATCTGCTTCGCAAACAAGACAGCAGTCGCGCGCGTCTTCCGCGCGGTAAGTGCAAACGCCGGTAACACGCGAAAGGTAAACCCGGTGCATTTGACGCGCAACACATCGAGTACACCGTGAAAATTGCATTACTACGGGCACATGAACGTCGCGGATATACGCGTGCACGCAGCTGGAAACCGCGTCGCTTCGAGCGCCACGATTATTAACCCTTTCGTTTCTATGGGCGACTATAGCCACTCTCTGTGAACCGAACACTGCAATAAGGGCCACAAAGTGCAACAGTATTATATTGTACTATTTCGTGGTCACTAATAACCGAAAGGTAGTTCGGCCTTTACAAATAAATAATCTAAAAAAAAAGTTGAAACTGCTTCTCTAATGGAAAAAAAAAAGTAAATTTAATTGTTTCTTTGAAGACCAATCGTAAATGTTACAAGGATTAATATGAATCTTTTGTCTACTGTGTCTCTTGGTAATTTGTGTGTTTTCTGTCTGTTTAAATTATCTTTATATGTACACACCAAGGTGGATTGAAATGTTCGCTGCTTAAAACAAAAGTGTCTGTTAAGAAGTTTTCGCTATTAGTCAACCTTTCGTTACCACGGGCGACTATAGTGACCCTTTGTGAAGCATTTTGATAAAGTTTAAAGAGGTTATTATTTTACGTCGAACCTGATGGAATGGTAATTAAAATAAATAAATTTCTTTTTGACTCCAGTTCTTGTAAATTAGCCCATAAAAATCTAAATACAACCGCAGTCTACTAATAATTGGAAAGGTAGATGTGACCTTCATAAATAAAAAATTGAAAAAAGTTCGGAATGCCATCCATCTCTGATGAAGGGATAACAAACTGAATTTAGTAATTTATTTTGAACCTGAGTATGTAAATATCAATATGAATCTCTTGTCAGAAAAATCATTAGTGGCATACTATGGCACCCTCGGCATCGTACAACTTTTCTAAATAAAGATATTTCATCTTCCTAAAAATAACGGGAGATGTTCCAGGTGTTCGAAGATTATCGGTCTACCCTGAACATAATTATTCCCTAATCTATCTCCGTTCTATTCGCATCTGAAAAGCAGGTCAAACGATTCGTTCTTCTATTCACTGGTACACCTTGCCTTAATTCGAACGGGCTCGTTACACAGTCTAATAAAACACCGAACGGGCGACGCGGACGGGGAAAAGAAATAAACGAGAGGGTAAAAGTTTCAAACGGACGTTACAATTTAATCAGGCAGTCCGGTGTCGTCGTTCGTTGCCTTATTACTTATTTCATCAGCCCTATCGGTTCCCCTCTTCAGAGTCACGAACGCTTTTTATCGTCGGACCTCCGGCGACACTTTCGAGATTTACGAACGAGTGGGAGGACTTCGCACGAGCGCGCACAAGTCCGTAAAGACACGTACGAGGTGTGCCTGAAAAATCATAGGATTGGTTTTGTAAAAATAGTTATCGGCAAATCAATTACTTAGCAATATTATTACCCTTTAAATGGTTCCCATGGGAAGCCATGCACCGCTGAAGACGTTGTTCGAAATCTTGGAAATTGTGCTTGGAAGTCTTCAATTGGAACTGTTTTCGGTTGGTCTTTTAGATGTCATCCACAGTTCCAAGATAACGACTCCTTGAGATGGGTTTTCATTTTGAGGACCAGGACTAAGAATAAGTCACGTGGACTTAGATTAGGGGAGTAAGGTGGACGTGGGACCACACAAGTACCTTTATTGGGCGAAACTTTGATCACAGAGAATTGTCTTGGATTCTACATCATAACAGGAGCAAACAGTTCCCTGGCACATTACACTTTATGCGAACGAGTTTTTGGTCAATAAAGCTATTTATTGGGATTCCACCTATCCCTCATTTCTCTGATCTGAGTCCATGTGGCTTTTTCCACGTTCCCAAAATCAATATCCAAGGTTGTCATCCTAGAACTGAGGACAATATACAAAATGTTGTTGCAGACCAACCGAAAGCAATTCCAGTTGAAGACATTCAAGCAGTGTTTCTAAGAGTAGGGATAATGTCTCTGGCGGTCTATGGGTTTAGCAAAGGAACTATTTTGAAGGGAACAATGTTAATTTGTCGTTGATTTGTTAATAAATATTTTTAGGGAACCAGTCTCGTTACTTTTAAAACACACCTGGTATATCCCTGGCCAGAGGGGAAGCTGGGAGCAATTGCGACACACCACGAGTAAAATTCCCTGATTCCTGGAGGAGAATTTGGCAGTGGTGTTTTAGCTTTTTCTCACTTTCTGGTCCCTACTCCCCTCTCTCTCTCTCTTTTTTTTTTCCATTCGTGTTCAGCGACGATATTTGCCTCCTGTCGGACGCATTCGGAATTCCCAGGGTTGGAACAGGCGCGAAGAGGTTAACGCGGGATCGCATGAAACTCGTAATCCCCGGTTCGGTATTTCACTTTTCGAGGGCTGTGAGAATTCGTCGCGCAAACAAACCCCAGGGAGATCGAATTTCACCGAGGGAATTTTCAAATCCGGACTTCTGATCGAATGTTACTTTGTTGAATATACGGGAGGGCTCGTGTCGTTCGCGTCCACGAATCACAATTTTTCTTCTATTCACATTACGATTCCAAATTGTTCTCTTGGAGTGCACTTTCCAATTCGAATACCAAGGGAACCAAATACGTGCACCATTCTCCCCACGAGTTCAGTAGTGCAACTCAATTATAGTGCCCTCCAGGCACTTTATCCACTTCTACCGTAAAAAGCAACATTATACGCACAGTTCGGTTCACTATGCAATGGCAATTGCCTCTCAAGAAATCCACCAACGAAACTTCAACTAGCTCCCAAGCCTAGTAAACGATAATTTCCGGGATAGTCGCGTAGATCCCGCATTATTTCAAACGTGCAGAACATTTTCCGTCGCACATTGGGAACGTGTATTCCAGGCGAATTGGGGTCTGAGGAGAAATGCTAAGTTTCCACGGTGTTCACGTTGAAATTCTAAAGTTACCTGGGCTCGCGCCTCTCATGAATCACAAAGGGTGTACGCGGATATGAAAGTGCAATTGCTCGTCGCCACTGTTCCCTCCACACTCGCGTTCAATGAGGGCTCGCCCTTTCACGGTTTTTCTTTTCTTTTCATTTTCGCGCCGCGGAAGAATCGCAGCGGGGGGAATAGGTCGTATAAATTTGCTTTTGCCCCCGTATTTCAATTTCGGGTACGGATAAACGATCTTTAGTCGGAGCATCGGCGATATCCAAAACCTTACCGATGGAACGCGTTTCGAAGCTGGTTTCTCGGTACCAAAGGACGTCCGTATTCGGTTTCAATTGTTGTCGAGGAGCGAACCGTTCTATTCTGACACGTGGATGATCTAACGATCGATTTTCTGCGGTTTTGGTGACCATAACGTGTTTACTTTGATGTGCTACCGATTTTACGACCTCGTTATATGTTGGACCGTACTACAGTAGAATCTCCTATAACGGAGAAGATAAGAATTTCGTGTTATAGCGGACAAAGAGAGCAAGAAGTTAAAAGTAAATAAAGAAATTTTTTCTAATATAATAGAAAATAATTATTTTATTTCAATTTAGACCAGTAGAAACGTGTAGTTTTTTCATTATATGTGTAGAGAAACTTAAGGGGGGTTTTAGTTAGATTTGGTAGAATTCTCCCTTAATCGTGTTATACGTGGGCAGTAGCAATTTAAGTTGGAGTTATAGAAGTACCCTGTTATATAAGGTTTTACTGTATAAATTAATCGTGCAGACGTCCTAAGACCTCCTTCATCGAAGGAAAAAGATATGCTCCCTCGTCACACGGTTTTCGCTTATTTCAATAAAATTTCAATTTTTATTCATTTCCAATTATTCCCTTCCAAATTGTTCGAGTTTTCCCCGGATCCACGCGATTCAGAATATTCAAGAAAGATGGATTAAAGATTTCCGCGTCGAGACGTGCGTTTGCATGCGTTACCTAGCTTCGTTTCCAATTTTCGAAATCCATACGCTCGCATAGGAATACGGGTAGCGTTTGACTATGTGTACACACGGCTGTGTGTATTCTTGCGAACTAACATTTCTATTCGACGCTTGTTTACAGAACGCGATGACGTGGGCTGCACTATGTTTGCTTTCAGGAAACTCGAATAATTGAAATAAGCAATGGTTTTAAACTATCGCGAAAGCGCAGTCGTTCGTAGACGGTCAGGTTTGCAGTTGGTTGCGATTGGCAATCTGCGGATGACTGTTCCCAATACGTTTTAAGTATGATTGCACTGGCAATTTCCTGGACGTTGTGATATGAAATATGGTCAATCACTTTTCTGTCATTTTCGCGAAACATTAATTAGTTACTTCCATACACCCGAAACAATGACCGAATATGGACTGTCTTGTTAATTTCTACCTGGAATGATATAAACAAATCGTTGCAAGAGTTATTGTGAATTTTTTTTTGTGAAAGTTGAGTGTGTGTAGTGAAGTGACTTATTTAGAGAACAAAACGAACGACAAATAACGTGTACAGCAATTACATTCATAACTGTTCACTAGATCAAACGAGTTACTCTTGTTCCAGTAAACAGGTACAGTAAGATTTTCGATAAATGCTCGAAACTCGGTATCGCAAATGCGAGTATTTATAACAGAACAACATGGTTTCTGAACTTCATAAAATTTAGTACGAAGTGTTACATTACTCCCATGACTGGTCCCAAAGGGGAACCCTCCCTATAGTCAGGGTAAAGTAAAATCGTTTAACGTAGAGACCTTCTCGAGCAGTTATCGAGACTTTCTTATAACGAAGACACTGTGCTCGCTACGAACTTTCCGAGCGACCCAATGCAACCCTATTCGACCTTCCACAATCAACCTAAGAAGTAAAGATCCATCCCGAAAAAAAATTATCCTCGAATATAGATTTGCTTGCGTGAGTTATTTCCCACCCTTCCATCATCACTCCACATTACCGTTAGTGTCCCACGTGATCTTTCCCTCGCGATTGCTCTTTATACGCCATTCGTAGGATCGGAACGTCGTGGCGAGAACAAGCTCGGAGTATAAGAAAATTGCCGGTTATCCCCGGATCTTCTCCCATGGTGTCGTTTTCCTTGGAAGGTATGCCATGGCGGTCTCCAGATGCCGGCCGACAGAAAGCCGTGTGGCTTAGCCGTAGGAAACCATATTAACGGGGAAGGCGAGGCGGCGAAAAGAGAGAGAGAGAGGGAGCAAAATAGGGGAAGAATTTCGACGTGATTCCGGCGTCCCCTTCAATTAGCTTTTATCCTAGAATATGGGACGGTGATAGCAACTCGGTCGAAGCTACGAGGAGCAAAGGGCGACGCCGGCCTTGATTGGAGCAGAACAGGGAAAGAATTAACCGGGGAATTTTATCGCCTCGAACCGATTCCACCCGCGTGGATATGAACGGGAACGTAAGGAGCGCCACCGGTATACCGGGTGGTCCGTTAATTGACGGTCGTGACTTCTGGGGGCGGTGGTGATTTTCGGGATACCGGTATGAGAAGAAATGGGGGGAGCGTAAACATGGATTTCAGCCTGATTGCACAGCTTTCGGCGCTGCGCTTTTGCTCCCGTGGAGTTTCAACGGAATTTTTGTTTCTGGTAGTTGGAAGCTTGGAAACGGGGCTGTAATTTTTCGTTAGGATTTTTTCGCGGGTTTTTGTTGGAAATGTGAAATGTGTTCACGGGTATCCTGGTAGTTCTTGTGTTATTGAATTGAATCGTGAATCATGTTTGCCTTAGATGTTGAAAATTAGGAAATAATATTTGAGTAATAGTCGAGTAATGAACACTAAAACTACCAAAGCAGTTAAAATGATTGGTTCGTAAACTGTTGTGAAAATTATTTTCTTAGATTCTTCGCAACTTTTACTGTAATTTGTAAATAAAGAAATTCGTTAATTTATCAATTGTTCAATAAACTGCCCCTTTTACGAACCTTATAGATATAGAAACACGTTCATCTTCGGTTGTTCTAATTATTACTTATTCAGTTATGAATCTAAAGTGCATATTTTAATTTCCAATATACATCTTAGATTCAATTTTCACCGGTGTATGTCGTTAGTAAATACTGCATAAAAAGGAATATAACGCGGTTATGAAAGATCACGTTATCATCAGATTATCTTCCATCAGATATCAGATTATGATCATAACGCTATAGAAAAAGCAGAATCAATCGATATCTGCATCGACGTAAATATTTTCCATTATTTTTCGTTATCGATTTCACTCCCCTATTTGTTCCTAGAAATACCGAACTGCTCCGTGAAACTATCAATTCCTCGCGTATCTAAAAGGAACTTCGTCCAAGAATTACGACGGTATTACGAACAGCATGCATTCCCGCGGAACGTATCGCGAAACGAGTTTCGAGAGCTCTTACCGGCCACATCCTCCAGCGTCGATTTCTCGCCGCAGCTGATAAAATGGGGGTAGAAAGATACCATAACTATGCCATTGATCTGCGCCTGAAACAGAAAAAGGTGAGAGTCACTCTTTCGTTGTAGATTCTTCCGTACTCGTAACCCTCTTAGATCCAAAATGGTGGAGAGGAATCGATGTGAATAGTGGTGGGTTAAGGAGGAGTCTGAACAGTTCAAGTTGATTTCAATCATGGTGTGGCGTTCGATGTGAAGTTTGCTTTCAAATAGTCCGATGACGTTTCAAACTCTAAACTCCTATGATGATGGCAGTCGGATGATGTAGTAAACTCCTAATAGTATGATGACATTGCAAATTCCAAACAGTATGATGACGTTGCAAACTCCAAACACCCGAGTCTCGGTGCTGTGAAGTTGCCAAACAGAGATGGATTTTCTTATCACTGTTTGGTAACGTTGAAGTACAGTGGCTCGAGAGTTTGGAACTTGCAACGTCATTAGACTGTCTGGAGTTTACTACATCATCAGGCTGTTTGGAGTTTGTAACATCCTCAAACTGTTTAGAGTTCGACAGGTTATCAGTATCAGACTGTTTGGAACAGACTTTCAGTTTGAACGTCTTGCTGGGATTAGACTCAGCCTGAATTTTTTAGACTCTGGTGTCAGATGTTTAACAATAGAACTATCTACGATAAACTTATATCTATCTCCATCCGATCGATAAATATTGCAAACTTGTAGAAATATACGAATTTACAAATTAACTAATTTCTTCATTTTTATATTGCAATAAAAGCTTTGAGAAAATGCATTGTTAAAGTATTTTATCCATCGTTGATATTATAGTATCAGTCATGTCGAACGCTTTAGTAGTTCTAGTGGTAAACATGTTTCAACGGTTTCTTTAATCATCAGTACGTGTAAGTAACTCACCAAACGTCGCAGTGCATGGTCAGGGACGTTTCGCGAGGAATTGCATAGGGCGTGAGCGCTGCTGTGGCTGAAGATGACCGGCGCCTTGGAGGTTCTCATGGCGACCAGCATCGTGGGCACGGAGACGTGCGAAAGGTCGACCATCATTCCGAGCCGATTCATCTCGAGGATGATACTCTGAAAACGTAGAACGATCGGTTGAATGTTTGTTCAAATATGACGGTTATTTACACATACAATCGCCTCGGAAAGTCAGATCGTAAATGTTAAGGCTTCATCAGTCATTCAAATTTCAGGTTCAGTTTGAGCTTAAAATATTTCTAAGATATGTATCTAACATATATTAACAACAATCGATTTTCTGCAGATGAATATCGTATATGACCCCTCAACGTTCCGTCTAATTTTTTTAATCGGGGAACAATGCTAAATGTCGTACTGCTATGAGACAAAAAATTCTGGTTTTTTTTATTTCACATTTATTGGAGATTCACAAGTGCATACAGCATTTGTATTAGCACCATTTTAGCGAAACATTGTATTTAATACCATTGGTCGTTCACTTTCTTTCCGAGGGGACTGTAAATAGCTACACGTAGTCACATCATAAGTGTTGCGATAGTAGTCGCGAGAATATTTCAGTTGGATCACTTCACGAACTTCACTTCCCGAAGAACAAATTAATATTAATAGGATCATTCGAAATAGAAATAACGAAAGTAACTGACGTTCGATGAATTGAATGTATTTTACACTTGAGACGAATTTATGAAATCTCACTTGACCGTCGTAGTGAACACGTTCGTGGTTGTGCGTAGACTACCTTGTCGTTGTCTGTTCAGTTCCATCTTGGTTTTGCATGTGTTTCTATTGGGCGATCAGTGTACCGGAGAGGTGGATGTGTTTGTGTATGATTTGTTTTCGGTTTCGTTGTAGTTGAATTTGTTTGTAATTTTGAAAGGAAGACCGGTGTACCCAAGTTCCCCTTCCAGATGTATACCCGGAATTCTTGGAAATGAGGAAAAATTCTAAATTGGCTAAACATCCTCAGTTTTCCAGGTAACCTTTTTTTTTAACGGGGGGAAAACCTTGAAAAGTACGCATCGCATTGTGTACATATCGTATGCTAGTGTCAACAATATCTAATGTAAAATAAACGTACTCAAGATAGCTCCTTAGTTGAATATCTATATTAGTTATTGAACCGAACACAATTTACTTTATTATCACTTTGATGGAAAGATTATTCTCGAAATTGTGTGAAGAATTTTAGAGAACTGCAAATCGCGAGGGAAACAGAGGCAGCGTGGCGGAGCGTAAACGATTCTATTCGATTCTGCAGAACTGAACATCACATTTAGAAAGAAGTGTCTATTGTGAAATTGCTTTAATAATAAAAAAAAACACATTCACGAGCGCGTGGATTCATTAGAAACCTCGTGGCAAGACTATAACAATTTGAACAGCACGACGAAGTGTGAATGATTCCATTCGAATCCATAAAACTGTATCCTCTTGCTTAAAATCGCGGTGTTTAAAGAGGGTTTAAGTTCCCCGAACAGATTTCGCCCCTCCAAGATAAGAGTGCCTGACGCCGTGGGACATTTGGGCTTACAGGGGTTCGAAGAAGCCCAGAGAAATTCATCCAGATGGCACCCAAGGAATCTGAAATCCCGGATTAACATGGTTTAAAGCTACCCCCCTTGTTCCAAAGAAAACGACGATAAGAATAGGAGAAGCCTGTGACTGGTCGGCGAATAAATCCTGTTCGTTACGTCGATACAGTTCTCGTGAAATGTTAAACGGAAGTCAAGGGATTCGTATCTTTCATCCGTGTGGATTCTCTTCGTGGAGGAACGAACGGGTGCTGCTTTGCAGCATGCTCACGCGTGATCCGTGACACTTATTGCCGGTGTCGTTCAATCAGATTGAAATTCACGACAGACCAAGTCCTTTGAACCCCTACTCTGTTCGCGAGGAATTCCGAATCGGAGGGTGACTGAGGCCTCGACGCTTCGCGTATTCAAAGAAATGCTAATACCCCACGATAAGTGTTCCGTTCGTACCCTCGAGAGTATATTATATGGACGCGATGTAAAGAACGGACGCGTCGAATTCGAGAGTAGTTTCGTGGAAATCATGCCCAGATGCCTGTATTTCAGTCTCGTATAAGAGATTTCCGATAGGTCCCGTTGCGAATGCTGCCGTCGCGACGACGGGGAAATATCGTTCTTCGTGTCTGCCGTCAGGCTTCCGCGATACGGCTGCTAATATAAAATTCGATTTCACCGTTGTCACTTGTCATTTCGCCGGAACAAAACAGCCTGCGGCTGACTCTCGATTCACCTTTTTCTTGCGAGCTCTGCCAGCGTTACGCCGTGGATATCACGGGGCGAGATGATTTGAATGAAAATAGAATAGGGTATCCGGACCAAAGGAATTTCATTCTTGAGTGCGAGTTTGATGGAGACGTTCGAAGTTTAACAGCGAAATACCATCGATAACTTTGTTGGGTAAACAAGCCACTGTTAATACTTTGTAATTTATAAAGTTATATTTAATAATTAATAAACTTGGAATTATTAAGTGTTAGTCATTGCGATGTTGGTGTTTGGTCATTCGAATAATTGATTTCTCTAGGTCAGTGTTATCCAACTTTTTTTGGATCATGCACCACCTGAACGCTTCAAAGATCTCGAAACCCTTCTAGTGTAATAGTAAACTAAGTTCTGAAAAAGTTTACCGTCAATAGCTCCTTCGAATAAAAAAGGTATATAGATAAAACTGTTGACAAAATATTCAAATTTCCCCATGGTGGGGCGCACATTCCAAGTTCGGAAACACTGCCCTAGTTAGTGACCTAGATGTCAGCTACTGGAAAATGGGACTGATTCATCGCAAACACCATCCTTTACTCAACCATTGGATGACCATGATTGGGTCATTTTGAATCGAATTTTTGAAAACTTCCTCAAATTCTACACCTTTCGATAACTAATTTAAGTTAGCAATTGTCTATATTACTTTTTTTAATCACCCTATACAGTTCGAGCATTATTCGTACGGAACAGTATGTCACTCAAGAGAGTAATAGCAAAGAACGGTTGTACGATTTCGAAAACCAGTAACAAACTTCGCGATAAGAAAGTTTTCTAGAAGCCACACGTTCGGGACGCATTTATCATCGAACGAACGATAATCACAATGTCACACGAACAATTCATCTTCCGACGACCCCGGGTCTGCCGGAAACAGAGTTATCGTTCGTATTCCAAGTGCATTCCCGTCCGTCTTCCCCGACTGCGTTGCATCCATTAAACAGAGACGCTTTGTTAAATCAGCACCGTCATGGACCGAACTTCTTGCAAGATTCCAGTTTATCTCGTTCCCGGCGCGACGTCGCGTTTCGAACTTCGAAACCGCAGTTTTCGTTTTTCTTTCCTTCAAACAGAGAATTTTATGGCCATTCGTGTGTTACTGAACTTTTCACTATACAGTATCAGCCAAAAATATTAGGCACCCCATGCATTACTAAATTTTAAAAAATATTTTTGTATTAGGAATAAATCGAAGTATTGAAATTGTGAAAAGAATCGTTTCTTTTTATTAATTTTGTCAAAATTTGTTGGGTTATCCTTTGCCCTGATGACTGACAATCACTGCAAATTCTTTTCGACTTTTAGCCTGTTCTTTTAAAAAAAGAATTAATTTCCGATGATGGTCAGTCAGTTCACTGTGTTTTTGGCATTTTCCGAGGGAAACTTCCTGACTTTCAAAATATTAACAGCGAAACTAAAGAGAAGAAACACAAAATGTAGACTATAGACCACTTAGTTGCTTTATGTCCCGCTATAAATTTTGTCAACTGTTTTAAAATGCCTGACAAAGGATGATGAACAATAGAAAGGAATGGTTTTTGCAGCAATCTGCAATAATGTAGGTGCCGAATACTTTTAGCTAAAGCTGCATTTATACAAGTTAAAAATGAGAAAAATCGAAACGCATGTTTATAAACCTTGTCGATTAATCTATCGGAAACTTTGGGTTCAAAACACGTCGAATTAGGAAAGAAGACATTCGTCATTGTATGGCTTCTAGAACCAATAATTCGCTCCATTTCGAGGTATACGATCGAGTATGCAACATCTACGGCAAATATTCATATTTCGCGATGGGAAGAGAACTACTTGAGTTGCTTTTTAACGAGGAATACGATCCTTCAAACTGAAATTAGATCTATAGAATGGAAGGGACCAACAATTTCCCCATTTCAAGGTATACGATCGACTATATCCACTGCAAATGTTCATATACAGGATGTCCCATACAACTGGATCAATCTACAGATTTAAAAGGGTAGAAGATAGAGGAAAAAAGTTTCATTAGTTAAATTTAAACGGTTTTGTGTTCTGCATCACATGGTGCATATGTCTGCTCTAGAGGTGAAGCCATTCGAGGGATTTCAAGATCACTTTTAACACCTTCATCACCTTAAACGTCTCCAACTTCGAAGTGGACACATGCACTATGTGGTGCACCGCACGAAACCATTTAAACTTGTCCTATGCAATTGTTTTCTAACTTCTACCGTTTTAGAGATATACAGGGTGATTCCCTCATTGCTAAGGTGGAAAGGCAATTCTCGTGCTTCGTCGTTAAGAGCTGTGGCCATTAATTTATGAAATAATTAATGTTCAGTGCCAAGGAGCCTTCGAGCACTTATTAAGGATTTACTGTATAGATTAACCCAATCGCATAGGACACCCTTTACCACCCTATCTGATATTTGTATTCGATTCACCATTCATAACTCTTCCGAGCCATGTTCCCAATGTTTCTTTAGAACTAATTATTGTTTCGAAAGGACCAGGTCACTAACATTCGTTCAGATTACGAAAATCCTCGATCGTGTCGCACAATCCCTGTCTGCGAACGGACATGTTCGAGGGAAATTAGCCCGGGGACGAATTCATCGCTAACTGCGCCAGCCATTATCACGAAATTAGCGAAGTTGCAGTATCTTTCGGTAAAGTGGTCCCCGTTAGCCGACAAGAGTACGGGCTTGGGGGAGGGGGCCAGAGTTATCTCACGAATCCGGGGGATTTCTCGCTACTATCCGTAAGTGGAACGATGCATCCGTTAAACGGGGAACGCTTCATTAAAGTAACAACGCGATA